CCATTCCCAGGGGCAAAGGGGGGAACCCTTCAGGTGGAAACAGCTTAGCCCCTCACCTAAGAAGCCCTTCTGCACCATGAGCTTGAAGAGGTCGATGCTGCCTCCCCCGAAGCGCTCCCCGAAGGCCTTGCCCAGGTCCTCGGCCACGTGCGTGGCCACGTCCACGCCCACCTCGTCGATCAGCGTGGCGGCTCCCACCGGGAACCCGAAGGCTGTGGAGATGGCATCTACCTTCTTTGGGTCAATGCCCTCCTGCAGGATAGAAGGGGAAGTGATGGGATGTAGGGGTGAGGTCCTGGACAGCCAGCGTGGGGCAGAGAGCTCTCAGCGTGGGGCAGAGAGCTCTCACTGCAGAGAGCTCCCACAGGCTGTGGGACTGCAACAGGAGCCAGGGGCAGGCTGGGGACAACCACGACCCCAGGGCTGGTCACCCACCTCCCCTCCTGCCCACAGCCAGGCTGGGCCCAGCCCTGGCCAGGGAAGAAGCAGAGTTTCCACGACTATTTGGTGGACACTCACCTGGAGGACTCGGACCACCTCCGACAGCATCGGCCCCAGGCACCTGGTGGTGTAGAATCCAGGCCCATCCTAGGGAAGAGGAGCACAGCAGGGAGCCAGGTGAGTCCCAGCTGCAGGAGCATGGCCTCCTGGCAGCAACAGAGCTGTGTTTCACAGCCCAGGCTGCAGCTCAGACACCCCAAACCCCATCTCTAACACTATGTTTCCGACTGCTAGAATAGGGTATTTTTTCCCTGTAGGGTTCAGCAGGGTTTGAACACTTCCACGAACTTGCTCCCTGGAAGTTCCCATCACTGTGTTTTTATTTGAACTAGTGCCTGGAGGTCCCAGGCAGGCTGCTGCTTCAGCAAGCCCAACAAGCTGATGAGGGAAAGGGTGCTCAGCACAAGGGAAACCAGCAAAAACCAGTTGTTTCACCTCTGATACTCCCCACAAAGCCAGGAAGCAACAGAGCTGCAAACTGCCCTTCAGGGAGGCAGCTGGGGTGGGGATGAAGCTCAGAGAAGCAGCACTGCATCCCCACTGGCCTTCAGAGATGCCCAGAGCACTTTTGGACAAGCCAGTTTTCCTGGCAGCACAGGAACAGCCTGCTCAGCACTGCTGCAACCTCAGGCATGAGGGAAAGACAAGGACACCTTCCATTAGTCCAGGTTGCTCCAAGCTCTGTCCAACCTGGCCTGGGACACTTCCAGGGATGGGGCAGCCACAGCTTCTCTGCCAGGGCCACAGCTGCCAGGGCCTCCCCACCCTCACAGGGAAGAATTCCTTCCCCAGTATCCCATCTAAATCCTCTGTTCCTGTATTCCCACCCCTCCCACCCAAGATTTAACCCAGGAAGAGGAGGGTTGCTGCTCACTGCCCTCTGTCCCTGCAGCCTGCCAGGACCTGGGGTGCTGGCAGCCCTGTGCAGACACACCCAGACGTGTGGGATGCCAGGGCAGCCCCTGTCCCTGTGTGGGGCAGGATTGGCAGCTCCTCCTGCTGGCCCTGTACCCGTGCCCTGTGGCCTTCCACGGCTGCTCCCGAGGACATGTGAGGATCATGTGGGCACCTGCCCCCTTCTGACCTCCCTTTTCACTTCCCAGCAGGAGCAGCTGTTGCCAGCGTGTCCAGAGCCACTTTTCACCCTCCTGTCAGAGCACAGGCCCTTGTGTTTATTGGCCCAGCTCCTGTTTCGTGCCCTGTCCACTCACCTTCACCACGATGACGACCTTGCCCTGTTTGAGGCCGACAGCAACGGCGGAAGCCGCCGTGTCCTGGGAGGTTTTGTCTGTGGTGATGATTTCCAGCAGCTGCATCTTATCCACTGGGGAGAAGTAGTGCATCCCAATGACCTGGGCAGGGGGAAGAGCTCGGGGTTAACGTGGATTTTGGCTCCCAGAAGAATCTGCTGGGCGAGTCAAGTGCAGAGGGAAGGCCAGCACGGGCTGCAGGGCCCCCCACCACACCCCACTCCATCCCTCTGTGGCAGGAATGCTCCCCAACTCCCTTCTCTCCTCGGTTTTCCCAAGGACACAGCACATGCCCCACAATCCTGCCTCAGGATCAAGGTGTGATCTTCACAGCACCAAGAGCTGCCCAGCTCTCTCTGTACTTTACAGTCTGGCAGCAAATGCTGTCTGTGAGTCCCAGGTGACCTTTCCCCATGCAAAGGACGGGCACAGTGTGACCTGCAGGGCACAGGGATCCTGGGCTGGCAGGGCACAGGGATCTTGAGCTGGCAGGGCACAGGGATCCTGGGCTGGCAGGGCACAGGGATCCTGGGCTGGCAGGGCAGCCCCACCTGCTGCTGCTGCTGGGCTCAGACTGGAGCAGCACTCAGGGACATCGAGCACAGTCTCTGTGTCCTGCCTGTGAATGCTTCTGGTGATGGAGTGAATTTAGGGATGAGGTGGCACCTATCCAGACACTAATTAGGGAGGGAAGTGCAGCCTCCCCCTGGGAGCAGCAGGTAGGTGCAGATTATCTGGCTGTGTGCCTCACTTTGGGAATGTGACCGTGCCATCAGCGTGTCACCTTCGTGCCTCCTGGCAGCTGCCCTCGGCCCCAAGGGCTGTGTAAGCCAGAGGCACCTTGCAGAGTTGCAAACTGCAACACTAATTAAAGAAAATGCACTAATTAATTAACTGACTTCCTATGAGTTTCCACATAAAGAGCCACTGCACAGCCAATTTCTACAGCAAGAGGATGTTATCTGCAAGGACGAACAAACGAGACTCGGCATTTCTGACGAAACAAAGGTTTGACAGCAAACTAGGAAGAGGTTCAGGAGGGTGGCAGGAACCTCTGACAGCTCACAGGTACCCCGGGTACCTCTGGCAGGGTCCTGCACTCCTGCCTCAGGGGTGTAGGAACAGTGCTCCTGCTCAGCTGTGCTCACCTGGGCTAAGGGGGGAGGATGCAGATACTTTATGTGCTGTTTGGACTTCAAGCAAAGGGATGAAGTTGTCCCGTGCTCCAAACCTCTGCTACCTTGCTCTTGGCACCCTGTTCACATGAATCATTTGGAGTTTGAGAGAAACCCTCACCACCCCCTCAGGAGCTGATCCCAGGGCTGACCACGGCTTCAGTCTCAGCACCTCTGAGTTCAGCTTCCAGCCACTGACTTCTTTTTGCTGCCAGGTCAGTGCTTTCTCCAGGAAGGAGAAGACATTTCCCCATTAGGGCAAGGCCCTCCTATGTCTACTCAGTTTATTAAAATGACTGAAGTCTTCTTGGCTGGAATTCTCTCAGCCCAAGTCACAGACTCACTGAGGCTGGAAAAGCCCTCCCAGCCCAGGGATCCCCCCTGTGCCCCATCCCCACCTTGTCCCCAGCCCAGAGCACTGAGTGCCACGGCCAGGCCTTCCTGGGATACCTCCAGGGGTGGGCACTCCAAACCTCCCTGGGCAGCCCCTGCCAAGGCCTGACCACCCTTTCCATGAGGAAATTCCTCCTGATGTCCAACCTGTCCCTCCCCTGGCACAGCTGGAGGCCGTTCCATCTCCTCCTGTCCCTTGTTCCCTGGGAGCAGAGCCCGATCTCCCCCAGTTTCCCCCTTCCACAGCCTCTGTGCCCCACGTGCACTGCCCTGCCTCACCAACATCACCCCTGGGGTGAGTGTACCTTGCCCCCCCTCCCACCTGCCCGAAGACCAGGAGCTCTGGGGGCACTGGGGGCAGAGGACGAGCTGTGTCACGTCCCGAGGAGGCAGCAGGAGGTCCCCAAAGCAAAGCCACCTTTCCAGGGACAGGCAGCTCTGTGCAGGGCACGTGGCCCTGGGGACTCACCTTCTCAGGCCTCTTGCTGGCAGCAGCAATCTGGCTGATGGGCAGGGCAGAGGTGTTGCTGGCGAAGATGCAGTGAGGAGGGATCACCTGTGGAGGGGTGGGAGGCACTGTCAGAGCTCAGGCTCCAGAGGGGGAACCAGAGCCCTGGGAGAGCAGCACCAGCCCCTGGGAGCCCTGGCAAACAAGGAACACTGGGTTTTCTCATTAGAAACTAGTTCTAAAGCAGCAGCCTTAAGTCAGCCAGCCCTGACCTCCCCTGAACCTCCCCAGGGGTGCAGAATCAGTCCCAGAGCTCCCATGTTTCTGCCAGAGCACTGCAACCCCACGAGACACTGCAGGAGGGGCCCACACCAGCCCCTTTGCCATACAGCTTTTTCCCCCCCTTGAACAGAACAGAGCAGTGGCAGCAGGGCAGGGACAGCAGGAGAAGGACTGCAAGGTGTGGAGATACCCAAGGACATCACTGTTGTATCAGTGTCCTCAGACAAATGTCCTCAGCTCTTTTTGAAGCAACTCCCAGGAGTCAGGGAACGTCAGAACTGCCCCATTCAGCTAAAAACTCCTCACTGAGCAGGGAGTGTCCTCAGTGAACAGAAAAGCCGCCCTTGATGCTCACCCACGTCCTGACATAGCTAATTGTGACCAAGAACCAAACTGCAGCACAAAGGGGGTGGGACAGACCCAGCAGCACAGCCCAGGACCCCTCAGCCCCCAGGGGCCACGTGCAGCAGGAGCTCAGGACTGATACTCACGGCCTCCACCTCCTTCAGCACTTTGTGCTTGACGTTGATGTCCTCGAACACGGCCTCGATGACCATGTCTGCCTTCTCAAAGCCCTTGTAGTCCAGCTGGCCCAGCATGTTGCTGAGAATGGAGTCCCTCTCAAACGATGTCAGGCTCTTCTTCTTGACCTTGCTGTTGAGCCTGGGGAGGGACAGCTCTGTCATGGCTGCTGGGGGTGCACCACAGCACCACGGGCACTCCTCCTGCCCTGCCCCCCAGAGCTGGCACCCAAAACTCCAGCTCCAATCCCACAGGACTGGCACCCTGCATGTGTCCTGGCCCCTCTTTCCACGTGGAAGCAGGAGAGCCCTGCTCACACAGCTCAGCTGAGGGTCAGAGCTGACACCCCAGAGCTGAGCACTACTGCTGCTGAGCCAGGAGGGCAGGGAAGGAAATCCAGCTTTCCAGAGCTCCGAGCTGGGATGCCTCCCCTGACATGGGCCTTGGCTCTAGAAGTTACTGCTAAATCTAAAAGCAAAAGCAACCACCTGTTAGATCTCTACCTCCCTCAGGCTGGCTGCACTGGGCCTGTTCTGCAGCCATATCCCAGCACACTGTACAGGACAACCTTAAGATAAAGCTTTCCTGTGACATCAGACGGTTCCTTCCAGCAGAACAGAGGTGTCATTCCTCTCCTGACAGCAGAGGAATGCTGTGACTAAAGGCAGCCCTATCCCACCCCGAGCCAATCCCTCTGGACTCACATACCCCTTGTAGACCTGCTGCTGGCCCCTGTCCAGGCCCTTCTGTGTCGTGTCCTTCAGAATGGTCCTCATGCCCTTATCCACGGAGACCTGGGCGATGCCGGCCCCCATGAGCCCTGCTCCCAGCACAGCCAGGGTCCTGCACGGGGAAGGACCAAGGGGACACGTTCAGAGCTGGAAATGGCTGAATTTCCATCGTTCCTGTCACACTCACACAGATCCCACCCACCCAGGCACCACTTTCACAGAGGCCACACGAGAGGTTTCACCCACAAGTGAAGCCTCTGAACTGCAGCAGATCAGCCTCCTGGAGGCTGGAATTCTCTGCTCTGCCACACAGCTCTCCAGGACTCCAGGCCAGTCACTTCCAAGAGCCTGGCACTGCTCCTTCAGGTGTCCCACACTTGCACTTACTTGACCTCTCGCTGAGGGGCCCCGAACTTGTTCTTCTTGCAGTGCACCTGCCCGTGGTAGAGCCCCATCAGTGCCTTGGATTCCTTGGTCAGTGCAAGTTGGCCAAAGTTCTGGAAGAAAGGGAAGGGGGAAGCTGGGAGTTAACAGCTGTCTCACTGCCAGCACATCACAACCACAGCAAGGGGAGACACAGGCACCGTGTGACTGCCCAGGTGAGTGACCTGCTCAGCAATGGGACAGGGGCATAGGTGACCTCTGGGGAGAGGAACCTTCTGGTCCAAGCACTGTCCACCCTGCCCAACCACCCACCACATTCTCCTCAGCAGCACAAGGACGTGGAGCTGCTGGAGAGAGTCCAGAGGAGGCCCTAGAGATGCTGCCAGGGCTGGAGCCCCTCTGCTCTGGAGCCAGGCTGGGAGAGCTGGGGGTGCTCAGCTGGGGAAGGGAAGGATCCAGGGAGACCTTGGAGCCCCTTCCAGAGCCTAAAGGGGCTCCAGGAGAGCCGGAGAGGGACTGGGGACAAGGCATGGAGGGACAGGACACAGGGAATGGCTTCCACTGCCAGAGGGCAGGGAGAGATGGGACATTGGGAAGGAATTCTTCCCTGTGAGGGTGGGAAGGCCCTGGCCCAGGTTGCCCAGAGAAGCTGTGGCTGCCCCTGGATCCCTGGGAGTGTCCAAGGCCAGCCTGGACGGGGCTTGGAGCAACCTGGGCTGGTGGAAGGTGTCCCTGCCCATGGCAGGGGTGGGACAGGATGAGCCTTACCCAGGTCATTTTGGATTCCATGATCCAGCTCAGCTCTGCCACATGGGACAGACCACACCTGAGGGCTTCCTTGGCATTGCTCAGGGAAGGCAACAGCACCTCTTNCCTCTGGGGAGAGGAACCTTCTGGTCCAAGCACTGTCCACCCTGCCCAACCACCCACCACCTTCTCCTCAGCAGCACAAGGACGTGGAGCTGCTGCAGAGAGTCCAGAGGAGGCCATAGAGATGCTGCCAGGGCTGGAGCCCCTCTGCTCTGGAGCCAGGCTGGGAGAGCTGGGGGTGCTCAGCTGGGGAAGGGAAGGATCCAGGGAGACCTTGGAGCCCCTTCCAGAGCCTAAAGGGGCTCCAGGAGAGCTGGAGAGGGACTTGGATCAACCTGGGCTAGTGGGAGGTGTCTCTGCCCATGGCAGGGGGTGGAATGGGATGAGATTTAAAGTCCCTTCCCACCCAAACCATTCTGCAATTCCACAATTCTGCTTCCTCAGTGGCAGGACTGGATTTCCCTGACACAGGACCCTTCCTCCCCACGTGCATCCTGCACTAGCTGGGGTCACTGCCCCCAGGGATCCAGGTGGAAGAGCCCTGTCCTCAGGCTTCAGGAAAAATCCTTACAAACAGGTCAGTCCTCTGTGACAGCAGCAGCTGATCTGCTGATTCTGCACGATCACAGAGAGGCAACAAAACCTAATCCTGCAAAACTTCCCAGCACTCAGCATGGAAGTTTCTCAGCAAGACAAAAGACAAGCACAGGGAGACACAGAATTGAATGTTTCCCGAGCCAAGTTAGCCATGGAAAAGCACGGAATGCAGTCTGGAGCAGGCTGCACCTTCCTTCACCACTGCCCTGCGAGTCAGAGCCTTGTGAAAACATCCAAAACAAAGCCTGGAAGAGAATCTGCAACTCCTGTCCTGGGGGACAGAGGGAGGCAGTAAAAAAAAAAAAAAAGACACGACACTGACACTTATTATTCTTCAGAGGTTCTGGGAAGATCTCCATCCCGCTGCTGTTCTGGGGAAAGAACCATCCATTCTCTGCTGTAAGGAACAGAGTATCCCCAGGCTTTTGTTCAGCACCAGACCAAACGTGGGTGGAATGCACAACCAGCACGGATGGGCACTGGTGAGGTAGGGAGGGAGCTCCAGCTCCAGCTCAGAGCAGGCCTTGGCACCACAGGGAACAAAAGGAGCTACAAAGCACGGCAGGGCAGTGGGAGATGGATTTCACTGGCATTTAAGGGGCAGAGGCACGAGACATGACCCAAATGCTGAGATAATCAGGTGAAAACGTGGCTCCGTGGGGGGCTCAGGTCTTGCAGAACCATCAAGGTAACCCACCAGTGACACTGGGCACAGCCAGAGTTACCCCTTCCGCCCCAGGAATCACACATTTGAGCACAATTGCAGCAAAACTGGGACCAGTGAGGAAAAACTAACGTGGGGCAGGTGGGTTTTTAAGGCAGAGACAAGGGCAGAGAAAGGGAGGGATCAAAACCTGTGTGTGTGCAATAAACACACACAACCTTCTCCAGTCCCACCTCTCCCAGCTTTCTCTTCTCCATTCCCAGCTCTCCCAGCCTCTCCTCATGTGCCAGACTCTCCAGACCTTTAGTTAGACACAGAGAACCCACGTGCTGCTGTGCCAAAGCTGGGGTGTTCTGGTTATTCCCCACCCAAAGATAACAGAGAGAGGAGGGAGAAGAGGCCCAAAGTGGTGTCCCAGACTCCTGACACACAGTCCTGTGGCTGCAGACAGGCCTCTGTCCCAGCCCCAGTGCCACAGGGGGGGCAGGGAGCCAGGCAGCACTTGGAGCAGGCTGTGAGGAACCCCCTGTGTGTGGTTAGACACAGATCCCAGGGCACAGAGTGAACTGATTCCTGCCAGGACCCATCTCCTCACCTGGGATTCCATGAGGTATCCGGCGTCACGGCCCTGATCCAGACCCGTCTTCACAACCTGGGCCAGGAGCAACAGAGACACAGCTCAGTCCTGCCTGCAAACACCTACACCTGAGCAGGGTTACCTGCTGGCCCCGGGACCCCTCCCCAATATTCCAGGCATGTTTCAGACTCCCTGGGTCCTGCCCCTGCTGCTCAAGGCAGAGCTGGGAGTCGCCCTGTCCTTCCAGCACAGGACAGGTGAGGAGTTTTCCATCAGGAGTTTTCCTCTGGAGCCATCCCTGGTGGTTTCAGGAGCTGTGCCCCTGTCATGTCACCGCTCTCAGAGTCATTCACGGGTTTTAGAGAAGTCTTGGCAACAACTTAAATAGTGAAAAGTCATCTTAAAATAAGGATTCAACCCTGGAGTGTGCCTGTAAGTCCCACAATGCTCGTGTAACCCGGAGGATTAACTTTTAAAGTATTGTGTGGTTAGTGTTATGAACATTACAACAATTTCTATTTTTCTGGCTTCAAACAGGCTCCCTGAATTCTTTAGAGACTGCACAGGAAACCTGGAAAAACTGCAGCTGAAAGTTTCATGGACAAAACATTCCAGCTAAGACTCCCCTTAACTGGGATTCCTGCTCTACCCCTCACTGGGACCGGTCCCACATAAACTGGTGATCATATTTTGGGCAGTGCCTCTGAATTCTGCCACCCTTGCTCAGCACAGCACCCAGCCAGCACTCCTCAGGACTGATCCATGTGGGGATCAGCGTGTTGGGTGGACTGAGGGGAGGGAACCACCTTCCCTCTGCCTGTGCCACATCATCCCTCAGCTCCCCCTGCCCCCTGGGTCCTCCCACCTCGCTGTGTTACCTCGATGATCTTCAGGGGAGCGGGGTAGAGCCCTTTGGTTTGCTTCTGAACTTTGCTCTCCACCGTCTTGTAAACCTGCTGCCTGACGAAGGGCAGGGCCATGGCATAGTCTGTGAGCTCTGCAAGGAGGGACAGAGCAGTGTCAGCACAGGGCTCTGTGCACAGCCAGCCCTGCAGGATTCACTGCAGAGCCAAGCACTACAAAGGGGAATGCTGCAGACCCGCAGTGGAAACGTGCCCCTGAAAGCAGCCACAGGCAGCAGGGGCTGCTCTCCACGGCCTGTCCCAGGGACAAGGCTCATCCTCCCCACACAGTGGTGGCAGGCTGAGCCCTGGGGAGCAGGACTCCCCTGGGGATGTCCCCATTTCTGGGCTCTGCTAACAGGGAGCAGCGTGGAGCAGACCCACGGGCCTCTTCCCACCTGACTACACAAGCCTGGCACAGGACTTGCCACCGAAGCTCTGAAGATGCAGAGTCCCCTGGGGGCAGCTGCTCCCTCTCTCCCTGAGGCCTGGCTCCCTTCCAGCAACCTCAGGAGCCACCAAGTCCAGCTCTGCCAGAGCCCAGACCTGCAGAGCAATGTTTTCCCTACCAACCCACCCGGTTTAAGAGGCGATTCCAACATGGAACCACCTTGTTTTGGAAACGGAAATAAGTAGGAGCGTGAGCAGAGCCCAGAGAAGCCAAGCTGGATTCACTACAGTCCCCTGGGATTTGGCCCTGCTGCCCACACACTTACTCTGCATCAGGCCCCTGGACCTTTTGGCAGACACAGTCTTGTTGGCCAGGCCCCTGGCAAAGCCAATGGCCACCTCCTCCAGGTACTCCATCGTCCGCGCCTCCGGAGTCTTCACACCCGGCCCTGGGAAGCACAGAGGACACAGCAGGAGTTACCCCTGAGGGACGGGGATGAGGAGGAGCCAGGACCAGACAGCAACATCACGGGCCTTTGAACTGCTACCACCCCACTCCCCCCTCCTGTTGGACTTTTCCTGGTTATGAGCACGGGTGGGAAGGCCCAGCAGGGACGATGTGAAGGCCCCAAGGGGTTTATACAGACAGCAATAATCTGGAATGCTGGAATAATGCTGGAATGTCAGCTCCCAGCTGTTCAAAGGCACATCCAGCTCTGGAATTAGACCAGGTTGCTCAGGAACACCTTCTGCCAGTCTCTGAACACCTCCAAGGACGGAGGTTCCATGACCTCTTTGGACCCGTTTCAGCTCCTGAGCATCTTTGTGCCACTTGTGCCCTTTGCTCCTCAAACCTTTTACCTGGCATAACTGCAGGCACTTGGTATCCCAAGGGAACTGGGGGGTTCTGCCTTCCCTCCCTTGTGGCACCTCTCCTTTCTTCTGGGGCACAAACACTGCACCAACAGGCAGGCAGCATTTAGGAAGTGCTGTGTCCCTGAAAATTCCCTGGACAGGAGCCAATGTCCAACAAACCCCAACCTTTGACCTCGGGTGCAGGAAATCTCTCATCTGCTTTAGCTGCTGCAACACACAGGAACTCCTGGCCCAACTTAAAGCTCTCCCACAACGAGGCAAGTCACCACCAAACCAGCTTTAGCCACCTCTGAGGGTGGGTTGCACAATTCCCAAGCACTGGAATCCTCCTCATTTCCAGACAGCTGTATCATCAGGGCAGGATCCAGCACAGGGCTAACAGGCAGCTGTGAGGAGCTGCCAGAGGCAAACACTGAGTCATGAATGACAGGGCAGTGCCCAGGGAGGCTGCACAGGGCCACCAAGAAGACCCTGCAGGCAAATGTGCAGCCTTGGGCCGCCCCTGAACTCGCTGAACAAACCTGGTGAGGTGACAACCCCGTATCCTGGTGCTGGGCAACCTCATTCACCTTCACACAAACAGCTCTGAACACGCCCAGCTGCTGCAGAGAGTCCTCAGAGCCAAGGAACCCCCCCCCGACACCCCCTGACACAGGAGGTGGGGAAAAAAAAAGCAAAACAGGGGAAAAAAAGGCAAAACAAACCCCCTTCCTCTTTTATGTCCCACTACTCTTCCCCTCAACAAAAGGTGGGGTCTTCAAATTTAAGGGTTTGATCATGGAAGCCCAGAATGGTTTGTGTGGGAAGGGACCTTCAAGGTTGTCTTGTTCCATGAGCAGGGACACCTTCCACCAGCCCAGGTTGATCCAAGCCCTGTCCAGTCTGGCCTTGGACACTCCCAGGGATCCAGGGGCAGACAGGTTCTCTGGGAATTCAAGCCCAGCCCCTCCCCACCCTCACAGCCAGGAATCCCTTCCTAATATCCCATCCTCTGGCAGTGGGAAGCCATTCCCTGTGTCCTGTCCCTCCAGGCCTTGTCCCCAGTCCCTCTCCAGCTCTCCTGGAGCCCCTTTAGGCTCTGGAAGGGGCTCCAAGGTCTCCCTGGATCCTTCTCTTCCCCAGTTGAGCACCCCCAGCTCTCCCAGCCTGGCTCCAGAGCAGAGGGGCTCCAGCCCTGGCAGCATCTCTGGGGTCTCCTCTCTCTCCACGTGTCCCCTCTCTTTGCAGAACCACCTGCACGTGCACCCAGCAGAGCCCAGAAGCTGCTCCTGCTGGGGGGTCTCTCAGCAAGAAGCAAACGAAGCAGCAGGAGCCCTGTGAGAGCTTGGGAAAGCTCCCAGGGGAAGTCTCCTGCCCTGGTAGAATGTCAGAGCCAGCCCAGGGCAGAACAGGCCAAACAAAACAACACATTTCATCTTACAGGCGGCACAGCAAACACAGCCCGGAGCTGCTGCATAATCCACATTTCAGCAATGCCCAGTGGATTCCAGAGAATTTACTGGAAATCTGAGAGCCTTTGGGAGTTCAGAGCTCAGACCTCACCAGCTCCCAAACTCTCATCTCACCGTTCAAGGCTGGGACCTTCAGCTTTAGTGACCTGATGTGCCACACGATGCCAGTGCCTGTTTTCCCCTTTCCATCGGCCTGGCTGCTCCACACCAACAAGTGCTGCATTTTGACAGCCCAGCTGAAGAAAAGAGCTGCTCATTTTTCAGTCCAAGCTGTGAGAACCACTCAGAGAAGGCAGCTGATCCCCCACACAGGGGTTTACTTTACCTGCAATCACCTCCCAGCGTGTTGTCGTGCCCTAACCCGGGAGCTCCAAGCTCTCCATTCCCACCTGGTTCCTTTGTAAATGGCACAAGCCAGAATGGGATCCAGGGAATGCTGCAGAGTTCCCTGCTGAAGGAGAACTGGTTGCACCCTGTGGAACTGCCTCCTGATTGATGTTGTCTGCCTCCTTCAAACCTTTCTATAATCAGCTACAGCATCACCCCAGGTAAAGCTGCTTTTCCCCAGGCACAGAGAGAACAGGAGCCTCTGGCAGGAACCTCCTGGCACTGGCAGCTCTTTGGATGAACAAGGAATGCCTCCAATGTTTGCATGTAATTTGTATTTTTGTGTTCCTCCTGTGTGCTTAAT